TCTGTGCTGCCTTGGTGTGTAACTCTGAACTTCGTATTAGGTGTAAGTTCTCTTCATAGGGCAGTTAGACAAAACAATCCTTTTCCAGACTGAGAACCAAGGTCACTGTTTCAGCTTGAGGCCCCAAAAGTATAAAAAACAGCAAATTGAGGAGAGCAATCTGGGAGGATGGGACTTCATAACCTGAAGCTGTAATTGGACAATTAATCCCAATATGTAAATGGACCAAAACTTATAAAAGTATGAAAACTTGTGACCCATCATCCATCTTGGGCAGAACCCTGGCTGGGCTCTTGTACTGCCCAAGGTGTATCCTTTGAAGGGCTTTTAATAAATACCTATTTTATTCCTCTCACTCTGTCTAGCCTCTGTTCCAGGTCAGCCTCTCTAGGCATCAGTTCAAGAAGTTTGATGTTTGATTTGGTACAGGAAAAGCAGCTGAGAGAGGTGGAGGGCAGCTGCATTTCAAAGGGAAATCCTGATCTAGGGTCCTTGCAGGAACAAAGAGACATAACCTGAGCTCCAGCTTGCTTATCCAATAACTGCAAGATGAAAAACAAAGCCCTGTTGCATGTGAAAATGTAGTGCATATATTATCTTTTATGTATCATTTTCATTCAACTGAATACATAGAGAGAATCAAACAGTAGATTCTGAAATGCTCAATTAAAAACACCATTAGAAAAAATAATTAACCTTTAAGTTGGGAATTGAAGTCACACTAAACCCAAAATCTGACCTGCACATGGCAACAACAGGTTGCAGACTTACTGCTCCAATGCACTAAGCTCTTATATACTGTTAAAAGGGATGCAGTGTAAGCTCAGACTTGGAATCATCGAAGCGCCCTAGCACAAAAGTTCAAATTCCAACCGGGCTGACTCAGTCCTTCCGCCTTCCAAAGTACATAAATCTAATTCCATGTAGTTTTACTGTGAAAGGAACTCTAAAAAGCAGGGGTCCTCCTCCCTGCTGAGGATTCCCTCTCCTATGTTTTCAATTGCTCCATTCTTCATGCTAGAACTGACTGGCAGGCTCCATGTCAGATCCAGCAAGCAGGAGGTTTCTTCTTGATATTAAACATGTTGCTTTGCGAGCCCAGTGTCAAGTTATAGAAATACAAAAGACCTGGTGCAGTAATTTACAGTTAGTGCAATATAGCTCAAAAACTGGTGAAAAAATAAACCCCTAACTGCATTTTAAGATGCGTAACTTAAAACATTGTATAACAGTGGCATCAAATCCAAAATGAAAAAGTTATTGTTTGCTTTCTTATAAATATTTCACTTACAAAGAAGTGTTCTAGAATGCTAGCAATATTCAGGATACACCAAATTTGCAATTTACAAGCAGAAATTTTTGGCCAATGTCCATGATGCAGTCACTAAGGATTTACTGCAACTGTTCTAACTTCAGTAGGAGGTGTGGGGAAAGTCAGTGATCTTCATTAACACCAGTAAAAGCAAGGCAGCATCATAACAAAATGCAGAAAAGATACTGACATTAAATACTTTCATTCTTCTTTTTCCATCAAGTGGGTTTTGCAACTATGAGCTGACACTGAACAGACACAGATCTCCCTAACTCCACTGAGGTTCTTTACTACAGAAACTCATTTCCAGCATCTTTGCATCTCCAGCAAGAAAATAAGGCAATAGATCTAGAGAGACAATCACTTCAGAGCCAGCTAGTAGAAGTGCCGAAAATGTATGTGCTTAATTGAAGCAATCCAGCAAGAGATGGGAGGGGAAAAAAAAAGTACCTGGTGCAAGACAAATAAGTAGAAGTGTGTCTGAGAGAAGAGTTGTTAAGAGATTTTATCCTGTGATGATAAAGAAATGAGTCAGCATCCATCATTATGAATAAACTCTGAAGTTAAATCATTTGATGTGGTAACTTAAAACCACATTCAGTTTTAGATTCTTTTTTAAAGGTACATCAAAGAACAGGAACCTCCAATAATTCTCATTAAACACCACAGACTTACACAGGTACTCCAGTACTTTGGGTCTTGAAAAACAATTTTCTCAGTGCTTCAGGAGAGAAATATGAAATATCTCAGGGAAAAGACAATTATCTTCTTGGGGAAATGACATACACAGGGCAAAATAACCTCCCAAGCACTACCTAGCAGGCCACAGCTCAAAAGGCAACAAAACAGCTTTAAGAGTCCTGTCAAATGCTGTGATCACATCCACCACATCATCAGCCACAGTTATTAATGCAGCATGAATAGTGACAACTGCACTTAAGAGCATTCAGCATTATGAAATCACACTTTTATTAATTTAAATGGTGCATGAGCATCAAGTTATATGTTCAGACTGACTAGTGGCCTCTTCACAATACTCTGTTGGTTTCAAAACTAAAATGCTTCAGAGCAAGATGTAAGAAATTCCAAGGGAAGTCTGCTTCCAGTATGAAAATACATACACATTTTTGGTAGATTGCAAGGGTTTTTTAGCCCTATGAGAATATAGTGGTCACCATGCTGCTTTCCACATCTTCCAGACAAAAAACACCATTCAAGGAGGAATCCAAAGCAGAATAATTATCAACAGAAACCTACTGACAACTTTAGTAAACATTATAAAATCGTATCTTACTGTTTCTAGAAAGCGAGTAGACCCTCCATAGTTGCAAATTGTCTTAGAGGTATCACAGGAAAGATTACTTTGAGATAAATCCAATAGTTCTGAAAAAAACTGTGACTGAAAATGGCAACAGTAATTTTTGCAAACTTAGCCAGAATAATATAATGTATCGCATGCAGCCCATAAACATCTTGGCATATCAAGTCTCGGTAAAGTTTAAAAGCAAGCATTTCCCTGAATTCCAGTTACTCAAAGATTAGAGATAAACCTTCCCACTCCCCCTCTTCCACTTACCTCAGTTTCTGAAAAATAAAAACATAAAGACATACTAATATTATATCCTATGACCTCAGTAGTGTGATCTCCAAGTGGCTGCAGAGGATAACCTGCAGAAGGATGGCATGACAACATCTAAAGATCACATGCAGGTCACTCACTAAAGCACTATTTCTTAAGGAAAATAGTTACTTAAAGAATGTTTCAATTAAAGCAATGCTTCAGAAATTTATTTCCCACACTTCACAAATGTGAAACAAGAAAAACATTCCGAGGTAGGACTTACTTTGTGACACTTCTTCACTGATAATGTTTTGCAACCTAAACCCAGGAGGAGGAACTTAAGGCCAGTCTGAACAAGATGTAACCTATGCAGAAAGTATCTCAGGAAAATGCAGCACACACTGACTCATAAAAGCAACCCTTCCAAGCTAGACACAGCTTACAGAAGTGGGACTCAGCTACCATTTCTTGTCAAGTTGACAGTTCTGGCAATCAACATCAATAAAATCTTTGCAGGAGCTGGACCAATACTATGCCTCTACTGCATGAATTTTGGAAATAAATGCACTTAAGTGGTACAATCATTCACATGCTCAAAAATACCTTCATTTGATCTGAAAATAATTGTGCCTGTTCCTTAGCATAAGCTTGGTATCTCTTAACAGTTAATCCTGTATGCATTTCCAAGCTAAAGGGCTAAAGGGAGGCTGACTACTTCAAAGTTTGATGTTAGGTCTATCCTTTAAAGGCCAGCATTTCAAGTGTTAAGCAACATCAACTGAGCTGTACTGCAAGATAAGCACCTTTTCCTTGCTGAATGTACCCAGACTTCAGATCTACTAACAAAGCTGCTACATTCATGCAGCACTGGCTTTTCCACCACCTTCCCTCTAACTCTGCAGTTCATCTTCTAGAGCTCCTTGCTGTCTCAATGTTAATGCTTATCTACTTAGATTGAATTAGCTGAATTTTAACAAACATGCTTTTTCTGCAGCTGCTCTTTTCTAGCTACAACGTTAACACTGTTTGGTGGACTCTGAAGCTCTTTTCCTGACATATTTAGACAAAATATAATAGCTCATATTCATTTAACAAAAAAAAAAAAAAAAAAACAACAAAAACATGTTACTGAATTACACTTAATTAATAAGCTTAAAATATATTCAAGTCTAAAGCAAATTCTCTGAGAAACACCATTTAGATAATTAAAAATAATGCTGAAATTTGTTTAATGACCTAAAAGTTCTTTTCCAGGCTCTTCCCAAACTGGAGCTGTAGTCCCCCACAAGACCATTTCCTCACATGCTCTAGATACAATCAGATGTGTACAATCAGGTGTGCAGATCCAGGGAATAGGAAAAGCTAATTGGACAGAGGCCTTTGGTCCTCAGTAACCCCTGGTATCCCAGTCAAGACACACAGGCAGACTTGCCTGTCCAGGAAATCAAACCTAAAACTTTCTCTACAGGGCAAACAGAAAATTTCAGTGTTCATCCTTCAAAGACCCAAAGGGCTGATGATCTACACTGAAGAAACCTACCTGTGTGTGATCTACCAAAAATATTCCATATCTAGAAGGTAAATTTAGAAGCCAAAGCACCAGTTTAAACACTTATCTAGCATTATTCAGACAAGATGCTTTTAATTAATCCAGCTGAAAGCGCTCACTCCAAAATTCTCAGGTTGGTGGAGCTGCAGGGAGGAAACAAAGCTGCAGGAGAAAGCCTTTGGGCACACACAGCACTATGCATTTCCAAGGGGATCCAAACCTTCTGCCATGCACGAGACTGGGGCTGAAGTACCCCATCTGTGACCTGCTCAGCTTTGCATTAGTTTGTCTAAAATCCAGTTTTAGGTATAATCACCTTATCTGGATTCTGCTTTTTGGGAACTAGTCATCTTTAAGTTGGAGTGATAATGTATTTCTAAACCTGCCTTATTATGAGAGAAGTTTAAAAACACAGCTTAAAATTCCATAAATTATGTGCAGTAATTTTTTTTTAAATTTTTTATGTTTTATTTTTTTTTATTTAGTATTGAATGTTAACACTCAGCCATCCAAAGAAATCTTTGCATCTACTTGTGGAGGATGAGGAGGCGAGGCACAGAAAAATAGATAGAATAAAATGGTTATTTCTTCAATTTATTTGCAGCATGGTAACTTAAAGACTGGTGCACAGAGTATTAGAAGTCTTGAAATTATGTTTACACACCAAAACGTTAGTGAGAAATTAGTTATATCTGTATCCTGAAGTGGCTAATCCAAATTGATTCAGGTAAGAAACATTATGTATAGCTTATTTAAAACATTCACTTCAAATTGCAATAATGTCAGATACAAAGTACTTGATAAGCCAATTTTATTTTCAAGTCATAAGATCTTTCTAGTGTCATTTTATGTTTTTTTCCCACATAAAATTATTTTTAAAACCCATGGTGAATTATACATGGAATCTTCAATAATAAAGGGTTCTGCTCTGCAACACCCCTTCCCCTGGATTTCAAACCTGTATTTTCTTTATTACAAATGAATTATTTTGTTACAGGTTTGTTAAAAGACACTAAATGAAAACCAACTTCTCTTTATGCATTGTGTCAACATTTAACCTTTACCATACTGTTCAGTGATGCACAGTAATGTGCTATTAAAACGTATAAAAGGCAAAGGAGCAAACATTTATCAAATAAAAAATGGGTAACAGATCACACAGTGAAGAGGGATGCTAACAGAAGGTTCTACAGTAAATTATCTACAGAAAGCTACTCAGTGCTACGACCTCTGCAGAGCCTGAACCACATTCTGAAGACACTGAATAAACTCAAAGCTGGGCTTCTTGCATAGCTTCTTCATCAGGTTGTCACCAAGTAGTGCTAGAGAAAAGTACAGTGAATTGTCCAAAACATTCAAGTAACAAACCAGAGGAATTGTTACAATGCAAATTCAACAGCCTTTTTCTTATCACATTGCACTCCATGTTTTGCCCCTTTTTAACTCTCTTTTGGCACAAGTTTTTAGGCTGCTGGTGGTGTCAATTGTCTTGCTTTCATTTCAGTTTCTAAAGACATTTAATTACAACAAAGTAGAAAAGGAACAGCAAACAAGGTACAGTACTTCCAAAAGTGAATTTTGCATCTATGTGGAATCAGCAGACTACAAAAGTATTTTGGAACAAGTGGGAGACTTGTGTTACTGGATGGCAAGAACAAGAAAAATCAAGTGAAACAAAACTTCAAAGCAAGCTAACAACCAAGATTGGCCTCATTAAAGCAAATCCTATTAACAGCCTTACCAACTTAAACCTAGGCAAGGAAAGCATCTTCTGCTAACAGCATTACTGCCATGACCCACAACTGGGAGCATAGCTCATGCCAGTGTCCTGGTCCCCAACTTTTCTTCACTTGATAATGCTTATTCTTGTCAGAAGAAAGAGTAAGTGACATGTAGTGATACCTGAAAACTGCATTTGCAGAAGGCTACACACCCCAAAAACCAGATGTACACTGTGGGAACCAGCAATTACAACTCATACTTCTTAGGATGCATACTGACAACTAAATACAACTTCTGGTTTTCAAAACTGGTTTCACAGCAAAAATTATTTTACTAGAGGATTGTTTGCAAGCTGAATGACAAAATTTGTCTAGGTAATTGGAAAATGTAATTTTCCCTGCAAGATGCATCTGTCACTACAATTGAAAAATGCTTTCTAACGCACTATAGTAACACTGACGTAAGACAAACACATTTTATGTCGTGTCTTCGTTACATCATTTGACCTATTTTGACCAGAACTTCTAATTATGAATCTAAAGTGAATTTACTTCCTAATTTAAATTATGTCCTGCATCACAGTGCCCTGCCAAAAAACGCTCTGCATGATTATCTCTAAAAGATACCCACCACTGCTTGAAGAGACCAGAAAGCAAACAAAAACCCACTGAGAAAGGGGAAATCCCAACATCAGACAAACTTAGTTTTCTAACAGACATGATTGAGAATTATTTTATCAGAGGACAAAATGAAAGACTGAGTGTCTTTTAATTTGATAAATATGACATTTTAAGGGCATCAGCTTTCTTTCAAAATGGAAAAAAAATCTCAAAACAGATAAAATCCACTGCCGTGTTACTAGAGCAACTTCAGCATTTCTTGGGGAAAAGAATTTCTTGCACAAAGAGAAATGCCTTCCTAATTCTTAAAATAGTGAAGAAACTTGAGCTGTCCCTCAAGAATTAGTTCTTCAGAAATTTTATTTTATTAATTTAGAACTACCAATCAAGCTAGCATATTTAAAATAATGTCTAAATAAAACAACTCAGAAAAGCCAGCCTGGAGACAGCATCCAAATTCTTACGGTTCTCCAAGACAAGAACAGTGGACCTTCACTGAAGTATTTCACACCATTTGCTACGGACAGTCATCCCTCTCTCTCCAACCTACCATGGGCAATTACATACAATTTCTAAAAGCAAGCTACTAAGCTCTACCAAGGAAATAATGATTGTCACAATGCAACAGAATATTAAGGCCAGTGAATAATAACTGAAGAGTTATAAATAACAAATGTCTACTCAAGCCTGCTTTTCCAAATAGAACCAGAACAAAAGCACAACAATTCTGTAGTGTACCAAGTGTATATTTCGATTTACTGTAATGCAGTCTAACAACAAATTTGGTCATAATTTACCAGATATACATAAATGATTTAAGTAGTAAAAGAAGATTCAGTTCCAAGAGAATAAGTTCATACCTTGAAGAAAAAAATCCCAACAAAACAAGAGAAAAAAAAAAAAAAAAAAAAAAAAAAAAGGAAAATACATTAAGAATGTAGAGCCAGGTCCAGTTTCTAAGCATTAAGTGAGCAGTATTCTAATAAAGCAGATTTAGGTGAATTTCAGATATATATATATATTTATATATATAGACAGATCTACCAATTGTAAACTATGGTCTTAAAAGGGATAAATGGGATGGAAAAATCTTTATGCTATACTTACATATTCACAAAGCAGAACATTACTTTAACGTTTAAAATACTTTTCATTCATATCATCTTTGCCCAACTAATTTCTACTTTGGACCCCACCAGAATTACACATTACTCATTTCAGTCTAGAACAATGAGAATAAAATGTAATCTTCAGTGTAAAAAAAGGTACCCCACCCTCCCAACCCTCCCCAAAAAAACTATTCATGTCAGGTTTACAATGATGTGGAAACTACCAATGAAACAAGTGGATGATTAAAAAAAAGCATTTTAATTCCCATATAACCGTAGTTCAAACTCATCATCTCAGTTTCAATCAGCAAAAACAATGTCTTAACATTATGCTACTGTTCTATGGACAACAGTAAAGCTTGTCTCTTTAAATACATACCAACTTTGATCAGATGGAGCACCAGTAAGATTTTGTCCATCAAAGCATAATTCATTATCCACACAACTACCATAATTTAGTTACCTGACATAAAATAGGAAAAAATATACTCATTTTAAAAATAAACAAAGTTGAAAAATATGGTGACCCTCAATTGTTTTTTATACAGTACTGTCACACTGGCCTAGCTATGTGTCATGACAAATGCTCTGCATATTTACTCACTGTGACATAATAGTACATCAGACTTATTGTTCCAATGATTGCCTGAATTCACTTGCCTTAGGCTAGACAACACAGAGGAGTTTAAGGTGAAGGTGTAATGCCCTCCCCTCCCTATGAAAGGGGCCTGAAATCATTGGTACAATATTACAAATTTAGGAAAAAAAAAAAAAAAAAAAAAAAAAAAAAAAAAAAAAAAAAAGAGAGAACTACATGGCTACAAAAATTCAAGTTTCAATGCCTCCTAGAAAATCTGAAACAAAGAGCACAGGGAGCATATCTTCCTGAAAAGTAGACAGCTCAAAGAGCATTAGTTTACTTTGGACTTTTTGTTTTTCTTAAAAAAAAAAAATTCCAGCAAATGAGCAAGTTAAATGTAGTTTGTTTACATTAAATACTAACAACAACCCATGAAGTACAAAAGAATAAAAAATAGTTTGTGTTCAATGATGAACAATGGGCACAACAGCCTAGTGTCCAATTCACATCACATAAACTAGCCAAAAAACGGACAAGTAAGAAATTATTGACCAAAAAGTTGTTTTAATATGACACTTTCTCCATTCCTTTTATTTTTATTCTGTGGGACTGAGGTATACACCAGGGAAACCAAAAAAATTTGAGAGAAGGGGAGCCTTAGAAGAGGGAAGAAACATTATTACATCAGATATTTTTTAGCATGACTGTCTCTTTTGACTAAGTGGCACAAGAGCTAACCATGCTTTGATCAGTCTATTATTTTCATTACTGGTCATTTCTTCTGCATTATCGTTTTGAAACTGATGAATCAACAACAACCTTCTTTAAAAACAGACACTAAATTAATGCCATTATCAACTTCTCCAGTGCTTATCACCCATAGCACCTGCCAGCACAGAGCCAAAAGTTTTCAACCCAAATTTCAATACGGTGTTGGCAATATCCATGACGCATATTTAAATGATTGGCTTTCACCTATCAGATTACAGGAGAGGTAAGGTTTGTATGGCAAAGACATGCTTGTGGAAAATGAGCCACTAGCTCAAATTAGCTTCACTGACTCACTGACAAAAGTACGAGTGGATTTGGGAAAGCTGTCTTGGTATTTCATACTGAGTTGCAATTTTCTTCATTCATGTTAACAGATACATGAATGTGTAACATAATTACAGTTACTACTATGTCTGAATAGGACCCAAGTAGCTATAGCCTATAAATAATAAAAAATACATTTTTCTTTTGATAACTGACTGTAGATGTGAGGACTCTGTATAATTCAACCAAACGGTTGTATGCTGTACAGTCCTGTGCAAATATCATAAAAAAATTAATAATCCTTTTTTGCTATAAGGCTTTGACCCTACATTTTCACAGCAACATAACTACCATCCAGCCTGTACCATTATTCGCAAGCCTTCAGTCCAGAAATTCAAACAGTCAATCCGCAAGTGTCCATTTGCAGCACCCTGAAGTCATATGCTCTGTCAGTCATCTAAAGGCATACAAACTTCCCCGCCTTCATCCCATCGAGACTGGTCATTCTGTTCTTCTACATCATCACCAAGCTCCTCATCGCCTTCTCCCACTTCATTTTCTTCGTATTCTTCATCCCTAGGGAAATCTGTGTCCTGCACCTGGTCTGCTCCCTCTTGCCCTCCAGGCTGAGATTTATCTGCACAGTCTACGCAAACTCCGTAACGTCGTGATCCGTGTCTTATTCCAACGCTGGCTGCTAGCATGAAAATCTTCTTACACACCATACACTTATACTTTTTATCCTTTTTATGCACCTGTGGAAGAGAAATTTTCACAGCTGAATACAGGCATATCAGCTTACATTTGCATAAAGTACTAGAACACTATTAACAATAACAATAATTATTAATACAAAAATTCCTATTTTTAACTTTTCCAAAAGATACCCAACACTGTTCAGAGTAAGGAAGGACTACTGAAGATCTATTTATATATTCCTCAAGAGATATGAGCTACTGCCCACAAACAAACCACCTTGTTGGAGGCTCAGCAGGTCACCTGATTTGTACACAGGTGAATGTTCAGTTCATGACTCCTCAGGGTACAGAACAAGACTCAAAAGCAATGAAATCAGTGCAAACCCTTACACTGCACACAAGATAACTTGTTTAGAAAATCGCTTTTTACAATTTTAAATCCTAGAAATATTAAGAACAAGCAAGAGTTATTAAATTCAAGAATTCAAAGACCAAAAAATCTTCTTCCATGACTTCTCCCTCCCAACACAATTAAAACCAACATCAACTTTCCAGGTCCCTTAGGTAATTTTTTTGTCCTGTATTTGAGTCTGTGTGTAAAATTAGAAGGCTGCTGTTGACCAACTGTAAATTTGGAAGTATGCTGCTTGTACAAGTAACTCTATTCAGTAACCATGTATATTAGTTATTATCTACAAGAAAATTAAGTTGAAGACTTCCTTCTTCTATCTGGTGTTCCCACAACAGATTATAATTATGTGCTTAAATATCTCATTTGAAGTCCCATTGAAAAAGCTGCATTTTAGATAAAAGAGAAATTACCACCCAGATGAGGGGAAAAAGAAATTAGGTCATGATACAGATAGTTACTTCAGCTCTGCTGTATAATCTGGTACAGCTGATACATGTGCTTTCCTCAGCCTCTAGAGTCTTTATACTACTTCACACAAGGCACAATGTTTAAGGTTTGTTAAACTGAAAGGGGAAGGGAGGGGAAAAAAAAAAAAAAATAAAGTGTCCTGACTTCCTCAGGGAAAGGACACTTCTGTTAAAGCACGGAACTGCACTGAGCTCACTCCACAGCTGTCTGACTTTATCTCCTTTCCTGGAGAAAAAAAAAAAAAAAACTTCAGCTAAAAGTCCTGGTCAGACACTGGAGGACAGAAAACTGAAGTCCCACTCTCTGGTGAGCCACAAAGGAAGGAGCATGGCCATCAATGAGGCAATAATGCCCAAATTCTCTCAGCCCTTCTTCATATGAGAGATGCTCCATCCCTCCAATCATTTTCATAGCCCTCCTCTGGAGTAGCTCCAACAGTTCCATGTCCTTCCTGTTTTGGGGACCCCAGAGCTGGATGCAGTCCTCCAGACAGGGTGTCTAGAGTGGCAGAATGACCTTCCTCACTCTGCTGGCCACGCTGCTTTTGATGCAGCCCAGGATACATTTGGCTTTCTGGGATGAGAGAGCACATTGGCAGCTCATGTCCTGCCTCTCACCCACCAGCACCCCCAATCCTTCCTGGCAGGGCTGCTCTTGACCTGTTCATCCAACAGCCTGTATAGATAACCAGAGTTGCCCCATCCCAGGTGCAGCACCCTGGAGAAGTGCAATTTACCCCCATCCATGTACAAACCTTTTCTGTCTATCTACAAAACATCTTGCAAAATGAAGGGATTTTTTAAATAACAGTTTGGACAAACGTTATTTTCTCACCACCAACAAAAGCTTGCTTTTGTTACTGCCCTAAAACACACTTTGGATTTTATATAGTATTTATTATAACAAAGTCTTCATTTCCTCATAGACTATATACAAAGTACCTACAAAATACCCAAGACAGATAATACTTTCTCTGGATTCTCAGATAAACAAGTACTCAAGTCAAATCCTGAGTTATGCAACATGCACAGGACAGGGAAAGCTGAACTGCTGGTTATGGTACTGGCAGAATGCAAGTCAGACAGATGTTTACTTTCTGTATCAGATATTTTTCTTTCTTTCTGAATCTTAAAGCAGATAATACACTATAGCTTTGTCTAGTTGTGAAATAAACATTTCAGAACAACCCCAAGATATTGTGCAATTGCTGAATTAACAGGGTGCCCTCATAGAAAATGGTGATGCAGCATTATAGACCATGATGTGCTGTTCTACTGCAGTAAAGCTAAGCCAAAACTGCTTTTCATTATCTACAGAATACTTATATACACTGCATCCCTTTATCACATCATTTTCAAAATAATCGTGAAATCACTGTCTTCATTGACGCTGCATTTTTCATTAAGAAAACAAGAGGCATAGTTATCCAAGAAATGTTTATCTTCATCCACTTCACATCAAGATAAGACAACTTACATTATGTCAAATCAGAGAACAGTTTGTTCCAACTGCCAAAATACCTGAAATGCCCCATAAAACCCCACTTGTACATGTGCATACATATACACGAACACTTGAGATTACCTACCAAGGAATGTCTCTTTACGTGTTCTCTTCGTGTAAACAGCTTCCCACAGATGTCACAACTGAAAGATCTCACGCCTGTGTGAATGAGCAAGTGTCTCTTTAGTGTTCTTCTGTATTTGGCTACATAATTACAGTGTGGACACTTCAACTTGTTCATGATTAAAGCAGAGGAATCACCTACAAGATAAGAAGCCATCAGGAGAAAATACGATGAAACACACAAAAAATAGTTAGATATAATCTGCCTGATGCGCAAAAATAAACAGGTGCCAAAACAATAAAGCAAAACACATGACTTTTCATCAGCCAAATCAGGACAAGGTCTGTCTGCAGAAATCACAAATGCTGCTAAGTTCTGCATGTACAATTCTAGTAGAAAAATACCTACTCATAACCAAGGCATTTTTACCACAGAAGTCTTATTTCATTAACTGAAGTAAGTTAACTACAATTTACCAATATTCCGCTTTCCTAGATGTCATTATACCAGAAAACACTTTCCTCTGGATTAGGAACTCTCTAACTCTGAAGCATTTAGATAGCCACAATCTTCTATCCCAATATTCTACTGAGAATTACATGCAAGAACTCACCAAGATCTGACTTGACAAATCAATAAAAAGAAAGTATAACTAATTAAGACTGAATATTGACAAAAGGAGTAAGACACTGAGAGGTAGCAAAATTCACATTTTACCTATTTTCTACTTTGATCTAACAGCATAAAAATAAATAGAACAGAAGAAAACTTTTGGAAGTAGCAATATCTCACTTCTTCCTTATGATGGAGGAGAACTCTATATAGTTTGCTCAAAGGATACATACAAAACAGATTTAAAATACAGTTTCCTATTACTGTGTGAAGAAAGAACAAGACAGAATTCTATGACATGGAGAAGGCCACACAGCAATACAGGATGATTTTGATAATAGCATACTGACTCAACTTGCTACAGGTGAGAATTTATGAAAATAATCATAGCCATCTAGAAGCATCCAAAAAGCACTGGCTAAGGCTACATTATTACGTGCAAGAGTTTCTAATGTTCAGGCTGTCAGGAAGAAAACGTAAGTAATTGTTCATTATGTGCACATGCTCACAGGCCTGTATCTAGAGTTGCCTCTTCTTAGGTTCTAAATCCACCATAACATGGAAGTTACATTTTTGCTAATATTCACAAGTTTGCTTATTGCAGCACTCATGTTAGCTGCATGTCAACTCAACATCACATAATGGCTTACGTGAAGAAGAGCAAGTCCTATACAGGCAGACATCAGGGCTGCAAGATATAGGAGAATTTAATGGTTTAAGAACAGGCAGACTTCCTAAGACCCAGCTTCAAATTTCTTGACTGCTAGAGAATTTCACCTTCTGATGACCAAATTTCTTCTACTGTAAACCCCAAAACATTTAAAATAAACCATAAGCCACATCCCAGTAATAGCTCAAAGTTAAAGAGAAGAGGTAAGAATTACTATTACCCAGTACTTGATATCTTCTTTTTACTGAAGACTTTATGTAGTGCGTAAGGAACTAGCAACAACTGCTTAAGATGTTTTAGATATGGTGGTGTTTTCAGTATGTTTTCAGACAGAAAAATAATTACAGATAATTGCTTGCTTGAACTGACAGAAGAAGGCTTAATTACAGCTGCACTGAACAAAAAAACATTCATTGCAATTAAGTATTTTATTTTTAATAGCAAGACGTATGTTGAGATCTCCTTTTAAAATTATATATAATTCCGTATCTTCACCATCCGTTTTCAATTTCAAAGGCCATTTATCTGTATTTAGCTTAGTAAAGGATGGGGCAGCTATCAGGTTATTCAAAGACCTCAGGTACCTTCACAATCAGTCACAATACAAGAACTGATATAAATCACACTCTGTTTTCACTCTTCCCTACATCTGAATTCCTCTTCCTCCCTCCAAAGAAGAAAGGCAAATGATACGGAAGAAGACTAAATAATCTCATAACCCTCTATACGAATGAATCAAATATTACAAGCGGAGATATAAAAGCTAGAGAACCCCTATCAGAGGGAAAAAGCCCAACCTACTCTCCATCAGATACACTTACCATTTTCCCAAGCTTCTTTTGGCCAAGATTCTGGCAGCAATCCATACTTGAAATCACTTGAAGTACCCGGTAGCAGCCCATACTTGAAGTCACTTGAAGTACCCGGTAGCAATCCATACTTGAAGTCATTTGAAGTACCCGGCAACAGTCCATACTTGAAGTCACTTGAAGTAGCTATTAAAGACACATTCTTACTTTAGCTTCCTGGGTTCTAATCAGTTATCAGTCTAATCTGTTTAGCAAAATACATATCCTTTTTAAACTGTGCCAAGTTTCTAACCTTAAAATAGTAATTGTATTTTCACACAGTATTTAATACTAAAATAACTGCATTCCTAATTTCAATGAAATGAGACCCTTGAACTACTCTCCACACCACCATTTCTTCTCCCCATCCTGAGAAAAACTCAAAGCCTTTTTCATACTACAGGAACTTTGATAGTAAGGATATGTATTCCCTCACTGTCATAATGAGGGGGCTGAAAGGTTTTCCATTGGATTCTCTTTAGAACTTCTCCATGCAGTGGCTTCACCTGGACTGCCATAGGTAGTCTAGCTGGTATAAAAGTATTTTTTACTAGAGGCATAGGGGTTTTTTTTATTGCCTTAAAATATCTCCATGGTTTATATACAGTGCTTTAAATACCTTTATATAAAGGATCCTACAGCTAAGTCTAAATCCTTTTCTGAATAATCATCTCCATTACTCCATAACCACATCAATTCAAGAGACTGTAATTACTTGGAATATAACAGCTTAAACGACCTAGTTTGCGTATTTACAGTTGCTCTTAAGACAAGATCTTCAGTTTATTTGTGTTTGTAAACCAATCAGAAGTGAAAAATGCCTTAAAAAGATCTTTGCTTAATTCCATACTTTATAACAAGTAAGAATTTCATCAGTGAACATGGAGTCACTATTGCAGAGCACAGAGAAGAGAACTATAAATAGTACACAATGAAGTTTCACTAAGAAATCAACAAAATCTTATTTGTTAGGCAAAAGCTTTTCTGGCAATAGTGCAAATCAATGTTCCCCCCAATCCCCAAGACAGGAGTTTCTGGGAAAACATGAACTTATATATCCATTACTTTTCCTCACAGGCAAACAGTTGTTAAATAAACAAACTGCAGTGGTAACTGGCAGATTTCCTTTATTTATCTGGATGGTAGTTGGGTCATCACACTGGATTCCCAATGCCACCACTGTGAAAAGTCTTGAGGAGATGTATTCTTGTTTTCAAGCCTGAAACTATGCATTTTAATAGCCCAAAGACTTTTTATCCCTACACTGTTCATTCTAAGGAATTTTTAGGAAAGGAAATTCTCTTAGGCTAAACCAGAATTTCATGCAGCTAGTGGCAAGCTGCATATTTAAACACTTACAATTTGCAGTTTTACTAGAAAAAAAGTACAGATTACAAATCCTCACAGCATGAGACACATACAGTAGTTTCATTTACTGCTTGGGCAGTATTACCATTGGCAGCAGTCATCTGGTCTGCAACATAAGACAACAGTTCAAAAGGATATCACTTAACAAGTAGGAAGCTTATAATTCTATCCTAACCATTAGACAATGGCAAACAAGCAAAGCTGGATCATGACTGCCAAACTAGGCATTCCATCAGAGCTTTTAAAAAGCAAAGCTTGAGTGAATTAAGAAGCAAAATAGCAGTATTGTAGCTCATCTAACCACCTATTTTGCTCTAAAAAGAAAGAAGGGAACAAACCTCCCTCTCCCTTAAGAAACACAGAACAGTGAGGATAGGGTAATTTTTTTACTTACTGACTAATTTTAATTACTGATATAACTTGTCTTATGTCGAAGAGGCAAGAACTCCTTATACTAATTTGGAGTGATGGACTCCAGCAATGGCATCTCAACAGCTCAAGGAATAGAACACAGATACCCTACAGACATGCCAACTACACATTCCTTTGAGGTGAGGAAGATGACTTCCTTCTGTAACACAGAAAGAATGAGTGAGGAAGCAGTGTTGTACAGTCTTGAGCAAAGCAAAGCAAGAGCAAAGATGACTTGATCTTAAGGCTAAAAGCCTCCAAATTACAGTAGATTTCAGGATCTAGCAGAGGAAAAAAAACACCAAAAAATACTTTTATAATGCTTAAAGTATTAGATCCTTTCTTTATAGATTTTTCTCCTGTACTGGAAATTGTAGCAAAATGTAGCTGCACAGTGAAAGGTCAGTCAGTAATAAAATATTTTAAGCACTCTTTCCTCCCTTATAGGATGAATATCTGTAAGATCAACAGACCCAAGTCTTTTCTGCACACAGACGTAATGTGCTATGCTGTGTACAGGTACTATTGTATAGCTTCCTTCAGAATAAGCATACACCAAAGACTGACCATAGGTAAGAGTTGGACCAAGCTGAGCACATTATTATAACACTGTCACTTTGTATTTAAGAGAACACAAATTAAACTTCACTAGAAACATTTATGTACACAGCTAGTATTTAGGTTTGAAGGGACTTAGGAGCTCAAACCTCTGCATAGTTCAAGATCTTAGCATGAGACTCAGCATAGAGCCAACCAGATTTAAGAGCTGTGCATCAGTCAGCTGTGCATGTGTCATCCGGTGCAGGTAGTAGCTACTAAATCTTTCAACCTCCAGCTGGGAAGAGAAGACCCCGTATAACATGAAAGAACACCAGCAGTGATACCACAAGAGATAAGAGGTTGCTACACAAGCTTCAGTCCCTGTAAACATGACTAAGTAGATAATAATTAAACCTAATGCTTATTCTTAGAATAATTTGTTGACCTAGAAAATCTGTTTTCTAGATTAAGCACACATTTAATGTGTTCAAAACAAAACCACGAAAAAGGCATCTTTAGTGTCTACTTGCTCATCCAAACAGGATAGACTTGAATCACACACAGACTGGAAGCTGGAAGTGCAATACCTAACCTCTACTACCTTCCCCAGATGGATATAGAGCCTACAGTCAGGTAAGCTTCCAGAATACAACATATTTGTAGACCCCTGTGACTCATAATATCCCATTTCTCCTCTCACCCAGGCCACTGCCCCCTGAAACCTGCTTGCAAAACTAGACAATCATCATCTGACCTGTTCTGGTTAACTTAAAGCCAGATGATAGACTCTTGATAGGAGGCTGAAAGCAACTATGGATGCAGTTGTACAGGTAGACAGGAGATGAGGTGCAAAGGGAGAAAGTATAGACAGGTAAGGGAGATCTTTGGCAGGTGGGGCGGGAAGCAGCTAATTAGAAGCAATAATATTCTCTGTCTCCAGACCAAGCCACCTGACCACAACTCTTCTCTGATCTCAGGTTACCTTTTAACACTTTAGTTGATTTCTAAAACGTGTAAATCAATAATCCAAATGTCAGTTAACCTCAAACATTTACCCATTCTAGCCTGCATGGATAAAAGGCTATCAGTAATCTCATCTTTTATTAAAGTCAACAACAAGCAAAGCCAAAATAATACAAAATAAAACAATACAAAGAAGATGATTAACCATCAGCACTAAAATTTACACTATGTTGATTTGAGAAGAGATAAGGACAGTGTGAAATAAAATGAAGTGGTTGCGTGGCTTTCACACCACTAACAAAAGCTATCAAAAACATTATGAAAGGATTTTATGTTCTACTGCATTTGTTCTCAGGAAAAAGGATAACTAGAAGCTAGATAGAATGATTTTCAGTTTTGAATGCAAGAGGTAGGCGTGTATCACCAGAAAGCAAGAACATGTCTAAGCCAGAAACATCCTTAGTTTGCCAAGTTTCACTCTTTTTCTGCAGCTAGAAATATGCTGATTTGGGGGGGGTGGGGCACAATAGGATACATTACTGAATATGGGGAATAATGAGAAGTTCACTGACCATTCAATAGGTCATTATAGAAAAGGAAACACATATGGTGCATTAAGGGAAAACATACAAAACTTTGCATTAGATACAGCTGTTTGTAGTGAATGAAACTTCTGATTTCCTTGCATTATTATTATTATACATTATTAGCACTGGAAACAGTGCCAAAAGAAGAGAAATATAAATACTATTTTTCACTACACTTTTTGACACTGACTGCTCATCTAGAGCAATTAAAAAAGACAGAAAGTAGAGAGGATAAGCAATTAGGCCATAGCTTTCAAGGATTGTAAAGAAAGCACTGGTAATCTACTGATACAATCTGGATTTCTATTAGAGAGCTGGATTTGTTGCTTATCTTAGGTAACATGAGGGAGGAAACAGCACTGCCAAGACTGACATACTGGGAAGGTGGGGAAAAGAAAGTATCTTGAAACTCTCTTTGTTCCCAGAGTACTCCTCACATCCTTAACCTTGTTTCTTCTGAAAAGGCTTATTCTAGAAGCATATTACTGCTCAACAGCAAGTTGCTCTTGCAACAGAGGGCTCAGACATATTTAAGACATTTTGCGAACGCAATCTTACTCGTACTCTATTATTCCAAATTTTTACTATTTTTCATTCATGAAAAAGTGATATACTGCCATGATTATGGAGTCAGATCTAACATCAACTACCCCTGATGGAAGACCAACTGATGCCAAATATACTACCCACTTCTTTTTCAACTTGATTATCATACCTTCCCTGAAAAATTCCTTCCCAAGAAAGCCAAAACTATTCTGCTGATCTCCTCCAACAACTATACCAGTGAAACACAAGGAAGTAAAGAATTTTCCTCATGCATACCATTTATTTGCAGGGGAGTTAAGTATTCTCATAGACTGTTTTTATTTATGAAGTTGCTATAATCATAATCAATATTTCACAAATGCAAAAATCATCACTTCAGATTGGTATTTTTTTAGTAAGTCAATGCATTGCACTGGGACTCAAAAGGATTTTTCTCAAAAGGCAGAGAAGATTGGAGCTGTAGGCTCAGTGACAGACCATACTGTGAGAATGTGAGGAGAGGATCTGTTTGTCTTTGGGATGATCCCTGGGAGAAGTAAATTTAATGAATGGGGAAGAGGTTGACCCTCAGATATTGCAGTGTTTTCAGGTGACTTCTAAAAACCTTTGACACCTTCACTACAGGATTACACATAGGGAATGGGGCAAATAAAGTGGTTAAAGGTCCACGAAGGAACTTCAATCTTTTAATCAGGGTATCGTCTTGAGGTCTAAAGAAAATCTGAGAGTTATAATACCATGGAAAAGTAGGAGAAATATACAATTCTTTTTTCAACAGTCAATCAAGTGGGGTTTATCCCTAACAAGAAATATATATAGGTCTTGATAAGTCCACCAATCTTGATTTCTTCAAACACAAAGATACCTGTCTTTACTGTAAAGCCTCAGCATGCTTCTCCCTTGCATCATGACAAAAGCCGGGACCAGCACTACATTTTTTGTAAGCAGGTTTAGCTGCTGTTTGTATCCTTCTGGAAAGTAGTTGTTTCTACAGCAAGCTGAATTAAATTCCCTAAGAACCTCTACAAAATCAGTCAGGAACCCTCTTGTTCCACCAAGGGCCGTTTTAATACTGCATGTGGTGTTATTGTTTCCCTCGTCCCCACCAGAGTACACTTATCTAACCTGAAAATCACAGTAACAAATTATACACTTGTTGCTTCATAAAGCTACTGGGATATTGCATGCAAGTCTCCTAAAAATCAAGTCAGTTCCAGAAAGCATAAGCAATACTTCACAACTGTGTTCTGACATCTGAGGATAGGACACTTGTGCAAAAAATAACACAAAACAAACCAGGCCCAGATGAAAGACATACCCAAGAGGTGATGAAAATTGACAAAATCACCTTGTGAACAGACATTAAGAATATGATTAATTATGTTCACTGAACTTTTATGAACTTTTGTAAACACACTGTAACACTGACTGTGATATGCTGACTGTCGGCATGGTTATTTTCACCATGGTAAATGGTTAATTGTAGGACAAATGATGGCTGTAAACAGTAAAAGACTTTTTTAGCAGCTTATCAACTAGGAGGGAAAATACTGAGATAGGAGGTAACATTCAATGTTTTAGTTAAACAGCTACTTTAATTAATATAGCTAAAACTGGAGAAGTCTTGAAAACTTAATTAAAATGTAAGTAAATGCAAGACAGTACAAGGAATTTCAAATCCATCCTAACTTTATTAAAGTTTCTTTAAAGCTCACCAACATGATACTTTTACAGGGAAGGTGTTAAATATAAACTCACTGGCAACACAGGGTGAGAGGAAGAAGCAGCTGACATATCCTTATTGGATATGTGTAGAAAAACTCACGTTCAGCAAGAAGAGTTTAACATATTTGCTTTACTGGAACAAGAGGGGCAGCAGATGCTTCAGAAAGCCTTTACTGTTTATTGTCTAATACATACCAACTGTACCCAACTGGAAAATTCCTTTACTATAGAATTCAAGGAAGTGGCTTCAGGGATAAATTTTTGTAGTGAGAGAAGTGATCTTAAGTAGGCTTCCCTTCCACCGTATCTACAGTATTTATTTCCCATCACAAAAGCACCAGACTAACCCAAACCTAAATCAAGGGCACAGAAACACACACAGCATGTAACTGACAGTTCTGATGGTGTTATTCCCATCAGAATATGACAAAGCATAACAGTAGAAGCTCTTTGTTCCCCTTTTAACAACCAACAGGAGAGCACACTTCTTAGCTCTGAATACAAGAATTTACTATTCTTTATCTTTCTTCTTAGAGAATCATCTTATATCTATTCCAGATGATATTTTCTTATGCATTTTTACCTCGGGGCCTATTATTTTTGGTAGTTTTTCATACCCACAAGAAATTTAATCCCAAACTAAGAAGTTATTGAATAACCTGCAGGTTACTCTACAACTCATTCTTGACATTCCTCCAACTCTCCACTCCTCCCTCTTCCACCTTTTCTTTGGCATAGAGGGAGCAGTTAAAAGAAGAGCAATTAAGGGTGGAATCTATCTGCAAAGCAAAGAAAAGAGCCACAAGTAGAAGAGAAAGAATACTAAAAGCTGAAGAACAGACTACGGGTGAAAAGTAAGCTACACCAAGCCCTATTTCAGTCACTCTTCTTGTTTCAAACAACATACATGCAAGAACTCAGTAAATGTGAAGGTTTTATTACAAAAATATTGGATATGGCTTCCAAAAGAATTCTGACACTGACAGAAAATGTACCTGGGAACTATGTACTTGGGAACATATGTGCTGTGCTCTGAAAATACCACAGAGATCACTAGTTGATTAGTGTTTTAGAGCTCAAGAAAATAAACTTCCCCCTGCAGTCACAGAACTTTTAATGGTTTTGGACAAACACCGCAACACAGATTCAGTATGCTCTATGTCCAATACAGTTCTTTTCATCAAAATGCTACATGGATGTATTTTGTAATTTATTTCTTTAGCATAACAAGTTACTGGAAACATTGGTGCTTCTGTAAAATAAATAAATAAATAAACAAAAATTGACAAGGACTAAACATACTGCACTTGCCCATGTTCTCTGTTATTTCTCCAAGAAATCTTCACAGCACACATATAAAATTCCACTGAATTCAAACAACTATTTATATCTGTTGTTGGTGCCATTACACAGTAGACATATTCTCTGTATTTCCAACAGTGAAAGACATTGACTATTTACCCCAAATAAATCATCAACAGAAATCATATACTAAATAGTATCAGAAATTTGGTATTTGTGCAGCTAATACACACATCCTCAGCTCTTGCTCCAGACCCTCTGCTGCCCTTTTTCATGGCACTGCAACTAGAGCAAGTAGTGCAGCTCAGCACAGGCAGAATTGTTGTGTGGGTGCTAAGGACTCAGCATCCCAGTATCTGCAGCTAAAGGTGCTTCATTTAGGCTAGATCTAACCTGGTGCTGCGGACCTGAGGCCTATTAGTGATTGTCACGTTCCTGAAATACAGCTTCTATCTTCAGTTCAGCCAGAAGGATGCCTGTGCAGTCTAACAAAGCTTAGCCAGTAAGGCAAGTACAGGAAATTCAGTTCACAAGCACGCACCCCCAAGTAAAGCTAAAGCAGAGCTACTCAGAGTTCAGAGATGAAGACCAGAGATAAGTAACTCCTCTGAAGCATTTGCAGAAGCACTCCTCAGTACAGCTGCTTCTCCAGAGTTGTTCTGCTGTGTCACACTACTCATTAAGCACATAAAGTCTCTTGTGCTGGAGAAACACATCCCCAGTCCCAGCCCACACTGCTCTATACTGGCACATGTCACCGTGGTGCCCAGGTGCTGCTGGCATGGCACAGCACAGCCATGGGTCCCCACGTGCCCCCCTGTGGAACCACTGCTCGCCTGTGTGCCCCAGCCCCACAGGCAGGAGCAGAGCAGGGCCCCTGGAGGAGACAGGACATTCACAGTTCCCTGATGTTTGAAGCAGGCATACATTTTAAACTGCTTTAGAAATGAGACACATCTAAATAATTTTATTCCAGCTGTGTCTCATATCCACCCCAAACTTGGCTTCTAAATTGAAATAAGTTTTCAAAACTATTAATTCATCAAAAACTGAGGCAGGTAAATGGTAGTACTTCAAATGCATACATTAACTACTCACACAGCATAATAAATTTAAAAAATAAAAACCAAAAGTCACAAAGGCAGGTACTTCAGTCAATACTTGAATTTTCAAATGACATTACTGGCATTAAGCAATATTTACCTGCTTCTTCTTTAATAAATGACAAATCTTCTTCTGGATATGGGACTGACGGTTGCAACACTGAGCAATCTTCAGAGTTCTCTTCAGTATTGGGTGGTATATTATAAATAAATCTCTTTGCAGTTTGGTTTTTCCTTCTTGCTTTTCCAGGTTCTTGAACGGATTGTCCCTGTGCACCCATGTCGTTCCACACGAAAACTTTCCCCTCACCTTGAGATTCATTTTCAGCCATTTCAGGTGAGCTGTCCTGGACCCAACTGCAGTCATTCATTTGGTAGCTTTCCATTTGGCCCTCATCAATAGGGTAGGGATCATTCTCAGTTTTTATGCTACTTGCCAAATTGGTAAGGTTTCGTGTTGCCCAGAAGCTGGCAACTTTTTGATCCCTTGGAGATAAACCATCCCTGCTAACAGATCTTCTGTTGTAATCCACTACAACAGTCTCTGGAGCTTCCGATTTTATACTTATGTTTAAGGCATCTTTAATGAAGTTGCGGCAGGACTGGACAACCTCCGTCATCTGAAGGTAGCTGGCCACCGACATCACTTCAATGGCGTTTTGGCTCGTAAGCACGAGGTTACCAGAATATAAGAAGTCCAAGATGACAGAAAAACCTTGAACAGCAACAACGTCTAAATAGGTAACAGTGGTTTGGTTACGGCTTTCTTTGTTTGTAAAGCAATACAGAGTCTTAAAGAAGCGGCTGCCTGCAACCAGGATGTTCTTGTGAGCTCTGAAGACCCTCCCACTCACCACAATATTAACATCACAAAGAATGCCTTTCTTCCTCTGCTCGTTGAGCTCTTGCAGGAGCTGATAGCAGTAAGAGTTCTCATTTGGCCTGCTGTTAAAATCACAGTATCCTTCATTATTCAGTTCTGATGGTAACTCTGCCTCCTGCAATTAAAAAAACCACACAAACATAATTAGCTCTTAATAAATGCTCTCCTTAGTTCTTCAGCATTATAATAAGGATATGAAAATAAACTAAAGAAGATAATTTTAATCAAACTATTTTCTGTTATTTATGTTCTTGGTCACAAAAGCAGACAGGAATATATAACTAACAAGATACTTCTGAAAACTAAAAATCATGCTCTCATTTTGCACCTTCCACCCCCAAAGTTTGAAACAAACAGAGCTAGTAGATTTGCCTTGAGGGGACAGGAAGGGAAATTTCAGCCAAAAGTAAGGAAAAATATAGTTGAGTGTGAAGTACTTGTTATTCCTAACCCACATATATTGAGGATTCAGGAGCCTCTCTTTCCAAAAATTTAACTAGACGATTCCTACATATTTAATCCCTTGTTCTTCCCCAGAAATCTCCATTAAGCAATTAACCAGAATCCTGATAACTGATTTAACATTTTCTTCATGCTGAGATACAAATACATGGATTAAGTCTGTAGGTCCCAGTCTGTCTTGAATGTTTTAAAGAAAACATATTGTTAAAGTGGATACAACAGCAAACATATTTCTTATACAGATTTACAAATTAAGCATTTACCCTTTGGTTTTTAACTGCAGCAGGTTTAGGATTAAACAGTGTATCACATGACAAGCAGACTAAATACCAGAGGAAAAAAGAAAAACGAAAAACCCAACTTAAGCTTCCATTACAATACTTAACTCAGACTTTCTTGAAACAAACCTCCCAGACTTTCCAGTGGCAACACTGGCACAATACTTATTACAACACACACAACCTTTTTAAGATGTGACACCATAGACGACTTCAAAATTTTGCTAAAACCTGATATTTTCAGGCAATCCAACACCAATACATAATTCATTACTGAAGATTAGTTCAGATAGGGAGATGTCAAGAGATCTGAACTGGATTTGGAGAACATAGAAGACTTCTAACTCATGTTTAGATAAAGATGATTCAGAGATGCTACAAAGCAGCAGCTAGGAGAAAGCAGAAAACACAGACTAGCATATTTGAGACCATACTTATATGGGGTGACATATGCTGCCATCAAGAACAGCAACAATGACAGTCTGTTTCATACTCGATCTCCTCCAAGAGTCTCTTCTTTCCTAGCAAACAAGGAAAGTTCAAAACTGGATAGCTCCAAGCCATATCATTATTTTCTTCTCTCATCGCTTAAAACACCTCACTGATCAGGGAGCTAGAGGTGGTGTTAAAGCTCACATGCCTCAACATTACAGGTCAAAATCAGTATTAAGAAGGTAATGTTAGCACTGTCATGAGCCTATAAACTATGCTGGGGCTAAAATACATGTTGCAGAAAAGTATTACTCTTAATTTGGGACTATGGCAGAAACCAGCTACATATATTTAAAAAGTCACTTTCCACCCCACAGGCATTAGTGGATCAAATCAGTACTCATCTCAATTTATAATTCCAGTGTGGATCACTGGAATGACAACTGAGGCTGTAACTACATTTAAGATGGTGTTTACACCTATAAGTAGCAAATAAGGACCAGTATAACCAAAACAGAAACTGCCATTTCAGCATCTCCTGCAGAGAAATTTCAATTTGCTGTCACATTTAAGTTGCTCCTGAATCTCTACACTTCTAAGAAAAGTACTTCATTGAAGGGGAAGAAAAAAAAGCAATTAGGCTCTTATGTGAAAACAAGCAATAGATCTTTGCCCAACCTCATCTTAATATTTTCAGTGTACTTTCTGACACACCCCAAGTACTCCTTCAGATCAAGGCTGTGAAACAGTTTGCTCCAGATGTGGGACAGCTAAGGCTGTCATTCTGAGTTCTCAGCAGATTTTGGTTCTGGGCTAGCTTCCTGTCACTCCAGCAGTGGAGCACTGCATAGTTTCAAAACACCAATTACACTGACACTGGATCAGATTAAGATGAAAATTACAGTACCCTAAAGTGCTGTCATGCTCGTCAATCATCAGTGACTTGCACCTCACACAGTAAATGTTAGGTAGATGCTATGATAGCTGCCAATTTCACTCTCTGAGAACACATTAAACACCACATAAAATTTAAAAAAAAAACCTGCAGCAGTTCTTTTGTTTTGACAAATGTCTGATTAAATAATGGAGATAAGAGTACATTTTAACTGAGCAAGTATAAGTATCCAATCAAGCTGGGACAAAAAATAAATTTGTATTTACAATGTGAGGTTTTTGTTTCCTGAGAACAGGACAAGCCAGCAGTGTGAGGAGGAGCTGCAGATCATAAATGCGCTACAACAAGACAAGACTGAAATCTCCATTATGACAAGACCAAACGGTTGAGGAAAAATGAGGTATTGTGCAACCTGTGTCCAAGCAATAGGGGTGTGTGTTGGAGAAGGAGATCAATCAGTGTTACAGCTTTAATTACTACTATAGCTTTACAGAAGAGGGTGCATAAACATTTTTAAAACTAACTGCAGTACTAAAACCAACGGTTCTACTGCTGGTATGGTACAACAGTTAACCCTAGTGCCACAACTCAAATGAAGTCCTGACATCTGGACAGTTATCAAGTCTATGAACACCAAGTATAACAAGGAGAACTGACATTTACTATGAGAAAAATAAATAAAACAATATTACCTCAAGAGATTTGGACATTGATACAGGAAAAAATACAATACAGTTCAACAGAAGGTAAGGTGCAGAAAATAATTACAGGAAAAAGTGTATTTGCAGATGTCTGTTATTTACATGACACATCATCATAAGGGTTCTGTTTTTCTAATGAGTAAAACAAACTAATCGTATTTGCTTAAATGCCAATTATATTTTCAGAATGCAGACCCCATATTCTCATCAACTAAGTTACTTCAACACCAAACCACCTCATCCTTTAATAAACACTAGTAAGAAATAAAAGATGAAAATCAGCACAATTTCATTTCAATTTGTGGAATCTTCAGTGTTTTAAGTCAAAAACTTCTCTCTGTGGGTGAGATTAAGTGCTGTAACAGAACAGAGACTGCTTAAGGAAACTAATATTATACTCAGTTTCAAACAGACTTTTCTGAATACACACAAAGACAAATTACTATTTTATATGTATAATTCATTAATTAAACTTGTCCAAAAGCTAACAGGAGCAGACACAGATGATCAAAAACTACTACCAGAAGTATAGTTTGTTTAGTTTTCTCTTTCTCCTACTGTTCCATCAGCATACTCTGTCTCTGGGAGGAAGAACAGTGAGGGCAGGAAGAATTAAGAAAAACCCAAACCAATCTAACCACAGATTCCATCTCAGCTGCGTGTATATCAAAAGTAGTTATACCACATTTTTTAATCCCTTCCCCCCCTACCACATCTTGCTCTACAGCAGTTCCCTGTGGCCCTAAATTAATTTTACCCTGGTAAATGTATCTTTTTTAAAAGTAAGCTATCGGTACCTTCTTAACCACATGCAGCTACAGAGGAAAATGAGCTCAAAATATGGTCCCATCAGCTGCACACGATGCTCCACTGTTACTGTACACACACAGCATCGCTCACAGACAACTTGGCAATTATTTCACTAATTACCTAATATCGAATTGAGTAACTTGAAATTTGATAAAAACACTACATGAAAATACACTGATAGTCTTTACCCTGAGGCCTGACTTCCTCCTCAACTTCTTTGCTCTGCTTAAAGTAAGTCAAGAAGTTAACTTAGAACACTGTAATGTAACTCTAACATCTGAAGCATGACTTCCATTCATCACCGCTCACATAATGCAAACAATTCCAGTTCACATGGAAAAAATAACACATCAAAGGCCTTCCTCCTTTTGGAGAGCTTCTGCTTTAAACCAACATGCCTGTTAGACTGGAGAAAGCTTTTCTGGCAGTATTTCCAAAGCTTAGCTCTAAATTATGGCTAGAAAGAAAATGCTTTAAGAAGATGATTTGAAGGGAAGAACCCCCAGCAGCCAATAAATCTGCATCTTATGGACCCAAATTCATCAAAGAATTAAAATATTTTGCCGCGATTTCCCAGCAAACATTCACTTCTAAGATTCTTGCCACACAATAGTCTGTTCAGTAAAAAAAAACAAAGGTAGTTTCAAGGTGATAGATTTCCTTACTGTTTCATGTGGATAAAAATTATTTTAAAAATTAGAATCAAAAAAGATTCAAGAATTTGGTCTTAGAAAGAAGCATCGGCTGACAGCTCAATACCCTTGAATTACAGCAGCTGCAACCACTTGTGATGTATTTTGGCATTCCAAATTAAATGTATCCCAAAAATAAACTGAAATCATCACTCATTTCTTCACGAGTGTTATATCCAACAGACCTATAGAAATTTCCACTGCTTTACTGTCTTAACACCTACAATTTCCTTTCTGTGCTTGAGTGGTGGCACTATGCCATATGTTTATTAGCAGCTGCTAAACATGCCCTGCAGTTGAGTCTTGTCAAGTCCATAATACATGTGTGTTGTCTCTAACACAAAGGCTGAAAGATCTCTCCCAAGTTTCATTAAATCTAAACGGCTTTGCTGCCTCATTATGTATGTTGGAAATACGGTCAGGGTACAAATTACCTACTTTTGTTCCAAGTATCTGGTATCATGGCATTTAGAAAAAAAATGGGGCTATTGTTTTCGTATTAATTTAAACATATGTATCAAAAGAAATTCAAGTGCCATTAAGAGTATGAAAGGATACGGAAATTAAACATAGAAGGGAAAGAAAACAGAGATTCTTAATCAGGTTTTTGATAAAGCAACTGTAACGTGAAAGTGCACCACAAAGAAAACTACACTGACTCCTGAAAAACTGCAATTCCTTCCCTCATGAGAAGCTTTTAACTGAAATGTAATTGCAGAAGGATGCACAAAGCACTGTTTTCCACTCAAACAAAATCACTATCTCTTTACAGCTACCTTTGTCCCAACCTTATCTTTAGTACAGTGAAGAAGAATCACTGACTCATCATACTGTTTCATTTATTATCACAGTTACTACAAATATTTTTTCTTAAACTATCAGTGGTATAAAAGCAGAGATTCATTTTTACAAATATTCCCATGACAATGAAAGGTCTTCAAATAAACACAATCTTCAAATACATACTTACACTAACTTGTAGGCTACTGTGATAAGCCAAAATTCTGTCCTCCCTTCTCATTTTTAAGTTTTATAGACAGGGTATTTAACAGACTCCGGGTAAGAGGACAGAAAGAAAAGAATAGTTAACTGAGTAGGGAAAAAAATGCATGGAATTGCTTTTATTTAAATACAGCAAAAGCAGAGTGAGAGAAGCTTCCAAGTGTGGAAGGGATTAGCAGCATCCACTAACACAGGAGGCAACACAGTGACAGAACGTACTTCTACAGACTAATCATTCACAACTCAAAGCTAGAAACTAGGCAACAAGACAGAAAGGAAGATACGGCAATAGCATTATGCAAAACTGGAACACTTTCAAAGATATGAAGAAGTGAAAGAAACTAAGAATGAAAGTTTCTTAATTAGAAACAACTAATTGAAAGCAAGTTTGACTAAAACACTCCAGAGTGAATAGCAAATCCCAGAAGACTGAAGAAAACTAGTAAGATGACCTACTACCACAAAACATCTGTAATATTTATCTGCTGTAAAATTTATCTGCTATAAAACTGCACTCACTGAAAAGGTAGTATTAATCATCTTGAAGGTGAGTGCAGCATTTGTAAATCCAAAAAAATTATTATGGCTAACCGGTATTTATGCACCATAAGGTTTCCCTTGCAGTCCTGCAACAGCTTCACATAAAACTTGCATACATTTTCCAAGTAGTTCTAAGAAAACTATTGTTCACTTAGTACGTTTTATAAGTCATCCTGTAATCCTCATATCCTGCCCTAACACTTGACTAGCAGCTCTTGTCCAAGGTACCCTCAGCTCCTTAGAGCGCTCAAGCAATAACCTCAATCTAACTACCGCATTATATTTCAGATTCCAAATAAAGCTACCCAACCAAGGTGGGTGTTTTAATTAAAACTGAATTCTAAATGCATAAAAACGGAGTGACTAATCAATTTATTCCGGCTAAGAGCCTAACAATTCAAGGACTAGCCTACCCTGAAGCAACACTAGCTAATGCCCGCAGGCGAGTTTTAACGCCGGCGAAGCGATCGAGCGAACTTTAGAAGCACAGGCATCCCTAGGAGAAAAGGCTGCAGAAGGCTGCGGATTCAACAAGGGTATTCTTTAGGGGCTTTTCATCCACATATGTTCTAGAGCAAGCTCTAGAAAGCAGCCAAGACACACAGTAATTTGAAGTTCAGCGGGGAACGTGGAGAGGTTCACTACTCCTACAGCGTTAGAGGAGCGCTGGCATAGTAACGCGGCTTTCAGGAAACCACATGTTTATCTCAAACATACACCAAGCGATTGCATACTTCTTGCTCAGCAACTCAATCCAAAGCAACACAATCGGAAAAAAAAAAAAAAAAATATTTCAGCGCGAAGAACTTAAATACACGGAGTTATCCGATTAGTGCACCGGGGCTACACCGCTAAGCACGGCACAGCGATTCCAATTTCACGCCGCCGTGTCCCCATTTCACAAGCGGTCGCTGGCCGGACACTGCCCTCCCTCCGCCTCTACCGCAGGAGGAAGTTGTAACGAGCGTATTTAAATCAGTGCTGTGACACTGGCACTCGTACGGAACTTTTTTCCCACATCGCCGGTTTATCTTCACGAGATAAACAGATGAACTAATGAAAGCGGCACCCGCCAGCGCCGGACGGATAACGGGAACGGAGTACAGCCACAAACAACAGCTCGTACTGTGTTTGTATGCCTGCCAATATCCAGCGGGAGAGCCACCCCAAATCCCAGAGGGGGCTCGGCTCCCGCTCCGGACGCGGCGAGCGAGAGCAGCGCGGAGTGTCCAGCCCGCCGGGCAGCAACAACCACGAGCAGCCATTTAAAGAAGTTCATGCCGTGGGCACTGGAAAACCTCACCTATGCGAAAGGGGAGGCCGAGATTGCCCCTCCCTCCTTCCCTCGCCCCCTCCCCGTCCCGTACCTGCTCGGCGCTGCCGGGCTCGTTGAGGCGATGCTCGGCGGAGAGGTGGTGCCGCAGGAGCAGGGTGCGCTTGTAGTTGCGGGTGCCCTTGCAGAGCTCATCGTGCCCCCCGGGCAGGGGCGCGCCGGACATGATCAGCTCGGGGGGCGCAGCAGCGGCGGCGGCCGCGGTGCACCAGGCGCAGGACATAAGGCCGGTCTCCTGGCAGTAGTAGAGCCACGGGAACTCCTTGAGCCAGGAGCCCTGGAAGGAGATGTGCAGCTTCTGCAGCAGGGACTTG